TCTATTACCTTTGATAATACAGATAGGAACAATGTCATATAAATAATAATTTTTAAAAACCTAAGTAACTCATTTTAAACCAACAACCTTAAAGCGGTTACTTTTAGTATACAGATGCCTGTACATTAAAATGTTCAGAATCCTCAAACTCACACACATTAGAATATAGGTTTGTTTCTTTACCAATCCTGGCTATTTTAGTCAGCTTTATGTTACTGCAACAAATTTCTGAGATAAACCAACTTATACAGAGAAAAAGCATATTTGGTTCCATGACTGACTAGCTCCATTGCTTTGGGCCTGTGGTGAAGCAGCCCATCAATGAAGTGTCTGGTGGAACAATTCATTCACCTCATGACCAGGAATGAACAGGAGAAAGAAAGAGTCCACTGTCACATAATTCCCTTTGAGAACATGCCCCCAATGATCTAATGTCTCCAATTAGGCTCCACCTCTTAAAAGTTCCTACCTCTTTGCAACCGTGCCAAGGTGAACACCAAGCCTTGAAATATGTGGGCCTCTGGGGCCCATGTTCTCTAGCAGTAGTCTCTACACATCTTCTTTCTTCCTAACTGTTACTTCCTGGTACTATAGGTGTTTTCCCCATAGACTCACCTCCATGAGATCAGAATTTGTGGCAGAAGGTCAAGTACATCACAATAACCACAGGATTCCCAATCAGCTGCCACAGGGCCCTCGACTGCATCTCTGTTTACTTAGGGGAAATGTTACACTGTGCACTTTTGGCCTGGGGTCCTATGGGACTTCAGTGGCTCCAGGACTGATCAACTTCCATGCAGGTCCTCTGAGGACCTTCTGGTGACAGATTCTCTAATATCTTTTTATTCTATTGTTTGTTTAGGTCTATGTGATCTTTAATTATCTATCATATATATATGTGTGTGTGTGTGTGTGTGTGTGTGTGTATATATATATAAAATCATATCAGGGTTCAAGTTGTGTACCAAAAGATAAATAACTGATTGTTTATATGCCTTTAAAATGTTTCAAATGCCCCCAAAAGTTGCTAAAGAAAAGGAATGTGGAAATGCTAACTTTACAACATAATATAGGAAATCAAATTGAAAGGAGTTTCATTCTAACTTGGCTATAAGATCATAGCTATAAATTGTTGGGATTTTAAACATACATTTAAAAAGCACATTTAGGGGCTAGGAGTGGCTCAGCGGTAGAGCGCTCGACCAGCATGTGCGAGGCTCTGGGTTCAATCCTCAGCACCACATAAAAAAATTTAAATAAAATAAAGGTATAATGTCCAACTACAATTTTTTAAAAAGTTTAAAAATTAAAAAAAATTTAAAAAGCACATTTAAATACAGTTTCTCAATTTTTATCCAGAAACTCCTACCATTCAACATGTATCTCCCACCTCAGCTCAGTCCCTCAAAAGAAACCAGTCAGTTTAGATACAAGTTTGAGACAGAGAAGGGCAGGGGACAAAGATTCCAAAATGTGAAACTGGAGAACGTCAGGGCCACATGGTAAGATTCCCCCCACAGGTCAGAGCATTCTTTGTTACTCTCACTCCTCCTCTCCCTGGGACAGGCTACCTCCCAACCACCAGGGCTTTCTGCTTTCTGTCCCCACACTGGAACAGCTAAAGCACTGCAGTGGTCCCCTGGTCACAGTGCTGGTGGGGAGCAATGATAAGCTGCCCTCACTCTTGCTATGGTTAAGATAACTAGTTTAAGACCAGGAAATGTCTCTAACATAGGAACATGCTTTGAATGGGAATTTGCTATATAAAACTATTAATATTCTTTCTAATAATTATAAACTTGGCTTAACTGAATCATACTATATCCACTTAAAAACCGGGCACTTGTGCTAAAATCAAAATTCACTTAGATTCCTTAACGTTTGATCAGAACTCAAAACTGGAACTAAATTGTTCTTTGTCTTATTTCACACAGCCTGTGACACGTGAATCACTTTATGAAGGGAATCCTGCAGTCTCTGGGAAAATGTGAAATTCCTCTTTTGCAAGGAGTAAAATTTTTCTTTCACTTACATGAAATTAAAGTTGCATGAATGATCCCTGAGTCAGATAAGTTCCTCTGTTTGAATAAAGAATTCATTAGGGGGGCTGGGGATGTGGCTCAAGCGGTAGCGCGATCGCCTGGCATGCGTGCGGCCCGGGTTTGATCCTCAGCACCACATACAAACAAAGATGTTGTGTCCGCCGAAAACTAAAAAATATTTTAAAAATTCTCTCTCTTAAAAAAAAAAAAAAGAATTCATTAGGTTTAAGTATTAAAGAAGCAAAGGAGACATAAAAATTTAATCCTTGATCAACTGTTTATCTGCTGAATGGTTTGGGGAAATTTACCTTTTCCCTGTAATTCCTTCTCAACATAAAATCATAGTGAAGAGCCAGGAGCAGAGCCTGGTGTTCAGCGCTACCGGGTTGGGGGAAGAGGGAACCCGGCCCAGGCCCTGCCTGTCTCCACGTCTCACAAGCTGGCAAAAGGCCCATGCTAACTCTGGGATCAGGAATTCACCTGACTCCCCCAAGTGTCTCCATTTGCTCACCCACTTGTTCAGTCACAGGTTCAGCCAACGTGTAATGCCACACACACACACACATACATGTACACACGCACCAGCTGCCACTCTCAAGGAACACGTTGAAGTACAGCACAAAAGGCAGGTCAACAAGCAAGAGCATGGAGAGCAGGAGCCGCTGCGAGGACAAATACAGCCCACAGCAGGGCAGAGAAGAGTTCCCGGAAAGGCAGCTTCCAGGATAAACTGCACTGGCCAAGCCGGGAGGTGGGAGTGCAGCCATAAACAGTGCCAGCAGTGGGGACGGTGGGGGAGAGGAACATGCAGAAGGCTGGAAGAGAACATGCCAAAGGCCCCATCTGGCTGAAATGCAGAGTAAGGTGGGAAAAGAGTGAGAGCTGATCCCAACCTGACCTGACATGTGGGGAGTTCCTACACTTGCTTTTGGATGTGCCTAAGAAACTGGCAAATCAGAAATAAGAATGTCAGGGACTGGGGTTGTAGGTCAGTGGTAAAGGGCTTGGCTAGCATGTGTGAGGCACTGGGTTAGATCCTAGCACCACATAAAAATAAATAAATAAAATAAAGGTATTGTGTCCATCTTCAACTAAAAATATTTTTTAAAAAAAGGATGTCATATACAGAAAAGGACTCCAATCTTAATGAGAGGACGCTCCTGACTCTTAAGTATATACATTATTGCATCTGTTGATTTACACAGCACAGGAAGCTAATCAATACTTAATTTCTGAAAATGTGTCACAGGCTATATGAAATAAGAACAGACTAGGTCTACAGACAAGAGGTTGCTATCTGACTGAAATATCACACTCCTGGGTGGCATATGAAACATAACTCCATGGATTAAAAATTGATGAATGTAATTCAGTAACAAAGAGATATCTAGTGAATAAATCAAGGTAGTCACCTCAAGAAGAGTTATGACGGTGCTGGAGGACACTCAACTCCTAAGAAGCCAGGCTGTCCCTGAGTTTTTTGGAAGTCAGTAGGGCTCTCTGGCCCTCATTTTCCTCATCTACACTCATCCACACAAGAACAGCTGCTGTGGTCATCTCCAGGGCCTCTAAAGCCCATTATTCTGGTAGGCTAACAGACGCACAAGTGTTTATCATCAAAGGCAAGGACTTCAATAACCACTATAAGGTGTAGACTTACTATCATTTTGTGTGAAGGAGAAACACAAACACACACACACACACACATACACATACACACACACGCGCGCTCTCAAAAAATTAAATTCAAAAAACAAATGTAATTAAGTTCAGATACCCTCTAAAAGTTGACAAATCATGCATATCCAATACAAAGATAATCAAAATTTTAGAACAACCAATTTTTTTGTTTTTAAAGAAGAGAGAAAGTTAGAAAAAAAAAATGAACATAACTAGGCAGGCAATGATTTGCACTGCTCACTTCCCCTTCCGCTGGCTTCCTTCCCCTTCTTAGGTCAAAACACTCCTACTATGTAAATCATCCCACAGCCGACTCCAGAGTCCTCTCTGCTATGACTTGCAGGGAACTTCATGCAAAAGAAACAGTTTCTAGACTTCCATGTGACCAAAAGAGATGTGAAGCATCGGGGACCATAAAACAAAGCAATCCACAGCAGGCAAAATGTGTATGGCACAGCAGAAATGAATGAACTGAGGATCCCAATTTTAACCACTGAGAAATGTCTGAATAGAGCTGGGCTTGGTGGCACACACCTGTAATCCCAGCTACTCAGCTGGTCAATTCAAGGCCAGCCTGGGCAACTTAGCGAGACCCTGCCTTTTTTTTTTTTTTTTTTAAATATATTTACCTTTTGTTGTAGTTGGACACAATATCTTTATTTTATCTCTTTATTTTTATGTGGTGCTGAGGATCGAACCCAAGGCCTTGCACATGCTACGCAAGTGCTCTACCGCTGAGTCACAACCCCAGCCCTGACCCTGTCTTAAAATAAAAAATATAAAGGATATAGATCAGTGTTTGCAAGCAACCCAGAGTTCAATCCCCAGTATGTGGGGGGGGATGATTTAAAAAGTAAAAAGTGGATATCCTATGATTTTAGGAATTTTATAGTAAAGTGACACTGTTTAGGATACTTGCTAAGTGCCCAGGTACTTTTTTAAGCACTTGGGATTTTTATGGATTAGAATTCTCACAATACTATCAGATGCATATTACATCTATTTTAATTGTATAGAAACTAGGAACAAATGCTCAGTGTAGTTAAGTAACTACATAAAGTTGCACAGCTTAGAAAGTAGTTAGACTTGGAATCCGGTTCTGCTCAACTTCAAATCTCCTCCTCTTTCCATAAATTACGCAGACTTTAAAGATCAAAGTAAACAGTTAATTGAAAAAAATTTCCCCTTTTGATAGGACTCTCTTAACACAATGCCATCATTTCAAGAGGAGCTTATGCTAAGTGTGACTTCATAAACAAATCACTTGTGAGAGAAAAAAACCACATCCAGGATCAAACTGCAAGCTGCAAAGCCTGTTTCAGAAAGCACTTCCTGAAAGAGACAGAGCAACGATTACAGCTCAGCAGTGCCAACTCCTCCAGCAAGCCGGAGCTACATTCAAAACAGCCTTTAACGCAACAAGTGAGTCTAACACAAAAGAAATACGACATGTCTGAAATGCACCATTTCCAGACAGAGCTATTTTAACTCACAGACACCTCTTTTTCAGAAGTGGGTACACCGGAAAATGGTCACTTCTAAGACAACGCTTTGATGGAAGGAGGTAAGCAGCATTCCTTTAACTTCATCACAGATCACTATCATAAGCACTGCTTTATTAAGCTCAAAATCACTAACAAAACATTATAGAAACTACGTTGGTGAAGGAAAGGACCTCGAAATTGTTGTGATCTTTCCATATTATTAGTACGATTGGGCACTAATTTTCAATATTACTTTACATTAATGGTAATTTTTCAAATTAAGGAAAACCCTGGCATGATAAGTCATAAATATATTAAAGTGTCTTTGTCACATTGTTTCAATTATATTGATTTATAAGATTATTTATCTTTTTTGTTTTGGTACTGGGACTTGAACCCAAGGGCACTCCATTATTGAGTTACATCTGCATTCCTTTTTATTTTTATTTTGAGACAGGGTCTAAGTTGCCAAGGCAGTCCTTGAACTTGCAATCCTCTTGCCTCAGCTTCCCAAGTCACTGCCATGACACCTGCCACCACACCTGGCATGAAATTATTTGTTTAATTAAGAAAAGAAAAACTATAGGTGATCATGGAATATAAAGCTTTCAAAAAGTTGACTTGAAAGCCAATTACTTTTCACAATTTTTCCAAAATTTTCTGTTTGCAGAGCATAGCCTTTAAGACACTTGAGTCACTCATACTTTATCCAAACTGGAGTGAATGAATGAAGACAAATGCAGATGGCAAATGAACTGCATAAAAGCGGCCTGAGCCCAAGGTGGGAAAGGCTCCCTGAGCTGGTTGGTAAATAAGGCATTTATGGAACAAAATTAGGGATGAAGATAGGTAGAGAAGAAAAAAAAATACAAAATTTCATTTACATTACATTTATTACTATTTAAAAATTCTTTGAGGACTGGGGTTGTGGCTCAGTGGTAGAGTGCTCACCTAGCACAAGTAAGGCACTGGCTTCGGTCCTCAGAACCACATAAAAATAAAATAAAGATATTATGTCTATCCACAACTAAAAAACATGTAAAAAATGCCTTTATGTTTAATAAAGTTAATAAAATTTAAGATTTAAGTTCCCGAGTTCTTCTGGAGATCTAATTTTCCTATGCAGTGTTCTTCTCATCTGATAGAAATTAATATTATACTTTAACTGATATTTGGAAATTTTATTACAGGGTTTTAAATTTATAGAATTTTATTCCAAAATCATATTCAATCCACATATTTGAGAAACTAATTTAGGAAGTTACAAATGAAGGAGGAAGAGGAAGGGAAAGAGAAAGAGAGGGAAGGAGGGAAGAAAGCAAATTTGCATCTTGTAATTTGTCCACAGCAACCTCAAAAGCTGTTCTCAGCAGCCCATGATACCACTGACCACAGGCTGCTAATCTCCCCCATAATTCTCACTAAAGAGGGAGTCAGGGCTGAATTAGAGACAAGCCACTCTACAAAGTGACATTTTTGAAGGAAACTTCATACACCTCCATATTTCAAAAAGATGCCTCAAAGTTCCACCTCTTTGTAGTGAGGCTATTTTTAAAATCTCTTAGTGGCTGTATCATGGTGAGGATTTTTACCCTGAGGGTCAATGATATTTGCAATCACAACTAAACTCTTTCCATTTGAAATGAACACTTTTTTGGTGATTGGAATTTATTACTTTTGACATACGCATCAAGTTACTGATGACTTCTTATCAGTATCCACTTCTCTTAGCTGCTCCTTTTTAAAATTTAATTTGACAAACAGTATTCATGCTTCTATACTTAGGCAGAGGAGGGGTATGAGAGCTGTTCTCCTGACAGGAACATATTTTCAAGACATTCTTCTCTATGCACCACTGAAGCACCTGAAATCAGCTTTTAGGACCTAAGACACACAGTCTGGTAGCTTCACTCTGAGGCACTCCAATGGCCTGGACACAGTCCATCTGTTGCTCTAGGAGCCCGGTTATCTTTTTCTTTTGTTTAATATTTATTTTGTAGTTATATAGGTGGACACATATCTTTATTTTTAATGTGGTGCTAAGGATCGAACCCATGCCTCACACAGGCTAGGTGAGCACTCTACCTCTAAGCCACAACCCCAGCCTGAGCTCAGTTCTTGATCTGTAGATCATGAGACAAAACCACTGTTTCTAGACTGATGATAAATTTAAGAGAATATGAGATAATACTACAAAGAAGTCTTTACCACTTAAGAATAAATAAAAGGTCAGACAGCAACTGTGCAAGTCTTCACTGACAAACTAGAGAACAGCTGCTATGAGTGACCTTACCAAACATGCTTTCCTTCATTCTCCTTCATTGAGCAAGTATTTATTTACTGAATACCTACTATGAGCTCAATCGGAAATAGGGAAATAGAAGATAAAATAAAGTTTCTGCTCTCTCTTACGTGAGAATTATTGTAATTTTCAATAATCAGTTTTCCAATATACAGTTTTTTTATTTTTTTAGTTGCTGATAGATCTTTATTTTATTAATTTATATGTGGTGCTGAGAATCGATCCCAGTGCCTCACACATGCCAGGCAAGTGTGCTACCGCTGAGCCACAGTCCCAGCACCCAACATACATTTTTATATTAAAATTATATTTAATGAATGGCTGGGCATGGTGGTACATGCCTGAAATCATAGGTACTCAGTAAGCTGAGTCAGGAAAGTCACAAGTTTGAGATCAGTCTGGGAAACTTAGCAGACCCTGTCTCAAAATTTTAAAAAAACGGCTGGAGATGTAGCTCAGTAGTAGAGTGCTTCAGGTTTAATCCCCAGTACACACACCCCCCAAAAAATTGTGTTTGAGTAGAAGTGTACTATTTTGACATTAATAACTTGATTATAAAATATTTAAACAGAATGGTGGTGATAAAAAGTGGGAAACATTTTATAAGATTCAAAATACAGATTGGCCTTTCCCCAATAAGTCTAAATCAAGAATGCTTATTAGAGAGGAATAACAGTTACCCAATTTCATACTATAGGGAGAAAAAAATCATAAAGGAAAGCTTGTTTTTTGAGGCAGAAGACAGGTAAGCAGGGATAGTGAAATAAATGGATCCCCCACTGCATTGAGACCCTCTGAGCCATGTTCATGGGTTAGCATATAATAAGGGCTTGGGTAAGGCTTGGGGTTAGAGCATTTACCCGAGTTTAATCCCCAGCCCTGAAAAAAATGATGAGTTTACCACAGCTGTAATCTCTAGGGAATGCATTCCTTAATAAATGCTGAGACTCACATATTAAGTTCACAATATAAAATACTCTCAAAATGAGACAGCCAAGCTGAGTTTGAGAATGTTAGCATCTATTTTCCAACCAAGGGATTTCTTCCTAATTTTTTCAACTATTTTTACAGCCTCTAAGTATCATGCCTACCAACAAGCTATAAGATGACTACCCCAAGCAATCAAGATCAACCCATCCCTTCTAATAGCTCACACCCAGACGAATACAAAATCGCGGCTCTTGTCTTCTACAGCTGTATATTCCTGGTTGGATTATTTGTTAATGTTACTGCCTTATGGGTTTTCAGTTGTACCACCAAGAAGAGAACTACTGTAACCATCTATATGATGAATGTGGCACTACTGGACTTAATATTTATAATGAGTCTACCCTTCCGAATGTTCTACTATGCAAAAGGTGAATGGCCATTTGGAGAGTACTTCTGCCACATTCTCGGGGCTCTTGTAGTGTTTTACCCAAGCGCTGCTCTATGGCTTCTTGCTTTTATCAGTGCCGACAGATACATGGCCATCGTACAGCCGAAATATGCCAAAGAACTTAAAAAAACATGCAAGGCCTTGCTTGCCTGTGTAGGAGTGTGGATAATGACCCTGACAACCACTGTCCCTCTGCTGCTCCTCTATGAAGACCCAGATAAAGCCTCCTCCCCTGCCACCTGCCTAAAGATCTCTGACATCATTCATTTCAAAGCCGTCAATGTGCTGAACTTCACTCGACTGATATTCTTCTTCCTGATCCCTGTGTTCATCATGATTGGGTGCTACTTGGTCATCATTCACAGTCTCCTCCATGGCAAGACATCTAAGCTGAAACCCAAGGTCAAGGAGAAGTCCATAAGAATTATCATCACGCTCCTGGTGCAGGTGCTCATCTGCTTCCTGCCCTTCCACATCTGCTTTGCCTTCCTGATGCTGGGTGGGGAAGAAAACAGCTACAGCCCCTGGGGAGCCTTCACCACCTTCCTCATGAACCTCAGCACGTGTCTGGATATGATCCTCTACTACATTGTTTCCAAACAATTTCAGGCTCGGGTCATTAGCGTCATGCTGTACCGCAATTACCTCCGGAGTGTGCGTAGAAAAAGCTTCCGATCTGGGAGTTTACGGTCACTTAGCAATGTGAATAGTGAAATGTTATAAATGACATGAATTTTCTTCAATCTCTTTAAAATTCATTTTTCTTTAAAATTCATTTTCCTAACTACTCTAGTACCAATGGATATTCTACATAATATTATCAAGTCCCCTCTCTGCTAAAAGAAAAGAAAAAAACTTTAAGAACTCTTTTGTACAATCTTATTGTGGCAATACAATTACACATTCCAATTTTTTATTTTCAAACTTGTATAAAACATTTTGAATTATTGGGGAAAAAACACCCACACTGGCATTTCACAGTCAAGCCTTATCTACACAGATAATAAATATTTTTAAATTATTTTGAATTTAATTCTGTGAATCATGAGGGAAAAAATTCAACCACTGATCAAAGCAATTGGGTGCACTATTTTCAATCCAGATGCACCTCTCATGTCTAATCTCAGGACCCTGAGGTATAAATTAAATACTTCTACACAAACAACTATGTGCAACACATCATCACTTGCTGCAGAGCAAACTGATGGTGGCAAGCAGCAGATGCGCCTGGGAAGATCACCCCTATCAGCCCCACTCCTACTCTGAATTTGGTTTCTTTTAGAGATAAGACTAGTCAAAAACTTTCTAGACTAGATAAAAACTTTCTGAGAGCATACATGCACCCAATCCCACATAAAACTAATGATGAAAACTTAACCTGAGATCCCTTTCTGCCCAATAACAAGGACACGAGGTGTTTCTGTGTGAAAGCCATTCTCTGATAACAAAAAAATCAACAAAGTGAAAACATTAAGTCATGGTTGTCATAATAAACTTATAGGTAATCTAAAATAGTTAATGAAAATTTATTTAGCATGGTAAGTACTTTTTTTTTTGGGGGGGGGGGGACTGGGGATTGGATCCAGCAGCCCTTAACTACTGAACCACATCCTCAGCCCAGCCCTTTTTATTTTTTTATTCTGAGACAGGTTTTTGCTAAGTTGCTTAGGGCCTCGCTAAATTGCTGGGGCTGGCTTTGAACTTGTGATACTCCTGCCTAAGCTTCCTGAGCAACTGGATTATAGGCTAGGACCATGTATACAGTGTAATTACACACATTTAAACACAGTATGTAAAAATTCAAAATTTCACTATTCTAGAGGGGTTTGATTCTGGAAAACAATGTTACATCCATATGTAAACACTAACAATTAAAAAACAGTAAGCATGTAAGGACAGATGTGTAGCCAGCATGGGTTACTAGACATAGCTTATAAGAAAAGTTACACATAAGCTATGTCTTTTCCTATAAGCTAGGTCTAGTGATAGAGCTTCTTTAGTTTGCGAACAACAGTTATATTTCCTGAACTGAAATAACAGTCATGAGCATCTATCATGTGTCAGGTACAATTTCTATGAAAAGCACAAGATAGACAGGTCCATATAGAGTTCAGTGACCTTATCCTATAGTCTGACTAGTGCTCACTATAATCAAGATTAGCCCTTCAATGTTACTGAGTGTAAGGAAGTTAACACATAAAGTAAAACCTAGTTCTCCCTCCAACAACTAGTAGGTAGCATAGAAGATACAGACGACAAAAAATACTATGATATAATAACATTAAGATAATAAATGTAATAAATACTAATAAGAATATTAATACATTTGTTATAATACACCTAAAAGGGTAATTAATCTTACCAAAGAAGGCCAGGTACGCATAAGAGTACAAATACTGTACACAGTATGTTAAGAAAGATAAATGACTGATGGGGGAGAGGCCTGACAGAGATGGTGGTCCTAAAGAAAATGAAAACCAAACATGCTGCAAGGAACTCAGTAAGAGTTTGCTTAATTCTCTCTACTCCCTGTGAAGAACAGAGTGCCTCCAACTGACCCATGATAGCCATTTATAAACAGCTCAGAAATGGAACTTGAAAGAAGCCACCTGCTTAAAATTTTTCACACAACCCGTCAGTGGCACAGATGAAATCTCGAACCTGTGATGGCAAAGCCCATGCCATTCCAGCTACTCCAGTTGCCCTGATGGCATCCTGGAGGAGCATGAACTTTGTTCTGAAGGAAACAGAGCTTTAAAGGTTTTAAAGACAAGGTCTAGCACGGTCAAGCCCATATTTTAGAAACACAACTTGTGAATGCTCCGTATGAGATGGTTTGAAATTGACAGGGGGCTAGTTAGAGATTTTCTGTAAAAATTCAGGCAAGAAAAGATCAGAGTTTAGACTGGTATTGTGTAGAAATAAGGGAAGTAGAAAAAAGGGGAAGAATGAGTGTGCTACTGAGGACTCTGGATTACATGCACTTGGAGCTCCGTCCCATTGAGGGGAAAGGGAAAGACTCCCAGCTTGGAACACTGAATACATGGAAAGCCAGTAACTAAAGTAAGGACAGCAGGAGGAGGGGACAATGGGGGAGAGAAAGGAGACCCAAAGGGAGGAGAGTTTCAGAACATGAGGTGTGGAGAGCCATTCTCACGCGTGACTGGGCGACTCCCGGTATGGGCCTGAGGCTTCTGGCTGTGTCGGAATTTTCCCGGCCCTCTCCTGATGAGAGAACCCGTCCGTGTGGGGGCGTTACTGACCACTGACCCCGGGGGCCCAATCACTGACCCTGACCTTGGAGTGCGGCCCCCCCCTCAACCTTCATTGGATGGAATTATCCCCTGAATTTCTTGTTCCCCAATAAAAGGCTACTCCCTGGCGTGCTCGCTCGCTCTCTCTCCTGCTAGCCCTGAGTAATCCTTGCTGCCCTATGGGTGGTTCGAGGTTGGAGCCAGAGAGGGGAGCCGTCTCGGACCTGGTCATAGAAAAAGGTAACTGAGTCTGTGTGTTTATTTCGATCTCTGCTAGCTAACTTTTATGCCAAGAACCTCATTAATGAAACCAATGCGCAGGCCACATGGTGGAATTGGCGCCCAACGTGGGGCGCATTCTAGATTAGCTAGATTGAGTGGGAGCGCGCTATAAAGATAAGATAAAGGAAGTGGTGACAATTTAGAATCACAAAAGTACCTGGAGATATTGAAGGAAAGAGACGTTAAATTAATTAAAATGGGAAATTCAACTTCTACGGATAAGGAAATGTATCTGACTATTTTAGACAGTATAATTAATCAGAAAGGAAAACAGATAAAGAAAGCTCAGTTATTACAATTCTTAAAGATTGTAGGCGAATATTGTCCTTGGTTTTGTGAACAAGAGTCTCCGAATTTATCTACTTGGGAGAAATTAGGAAGAAAGTTACAAAAGGTTTATCTCTCTAATGAACTACCTGTAGGCATAGAAAGTATTCAGAAAACTTGGACGGCTCTAGAAGTTTGTCTTTTTGAGTATATGGGCCAAAGTTCGTGGCCCCCTGAAGACCTGTTAAAAGGCATGCAGAGGGCTATTAAGTCTATTCAAATGGAAAATCCGCCTGAAGCTAAGTTAATTCCCTTTCCCTTAAGCCTTTTAAAATCAAAGACACTAGGGGCCAAACCAAAGGTTAGGAATGTGACCTTAAACTTGCAAGACCAGGCTAGCCTGCAGGGAGATTATAGGGATGAATATCATAGAGGAGAAACCTCCGAAATCCTAGAAAGCCCTCCGGAAGAGGTAGAGGATCTTCCTGGGGAGGAGAATCCGGAAGAGATTCCTAGAGGGGCACAGAGTTCTTCTCAGCCACATGGCTTAGAAGCCCAATTTCAAAATGGCGACAGCGCAGAGTCTGACCATGACTCACAATCTGAGGGAGAAGAATCAGACGTTGAAATTCAGGACTTATAGAGAAATCTTAACAGACTGCGTTTAACACCGCCTGCCCAGGCTATTCGAATTCAGCCAGTACCTGTTAAAAGGACAAAATTTAACAGGTACGCTGGATTAACAATGACTTTTCTTACCCCATTCCAGCGAGGTATTAAGAAAGCACAGGAAGATGGGGAGGATACTAGCGGTTTTCAACTTTTTCCAGTTTTTGAGCAAGTTAATGAGCAAGATCAGAGAGTTAGAGTTCATGCTGTAATCCCATTTAAAACCATTAAGGAACTAAAAAGTGCATGTGAGACGTATGGTCCAAATTCGCCTTTTGTACAGAGCCTGATCGAAAATATTTGCTCACAGCCCCTTCCTCCTAGCGATTGGATTTCTTTAGCCAGATCCTGTCTGAGCAGGGGAGATTTCTTACTCTGGAGAACTTATTGGACTGATTTTTGTACTGAACAGGCAGAAAAGAACAAAAGACACGATATAGAAATGCCAGTAGAAATGTTTCTAGGGACAGGTGAATTTACTGATATAGAAAGACAGTTAAATTATGAATTTGTAGTATACAATCAAATAACTGATTGTGCGAAACGTGCCTGGAGGCAGATTGTCCCTAAGGACCAATCCAATTTAGTTCTTACCAAAATCAGGCAAGGTGCAAGTGAACCTTACTCAGATTTCGTAGCCCGATTGTACCAGGCTGCAAACAGGTCAATCGGGGACTCGGGAGTTAGGCAATTGGCATTTGAAAATGCAAATAAGTATTGTCAAGATGTTCTTAGGCCTCACCGTAAAAAAGGGACAATTTCTGAGTTTATCCGCTTATGTTCTGACATAGACTCTACCCATTTGCAGACAGTAGCCCTAGCCGCGGCACTAAAGGAAACTTTGAGTCCACAGGATTTAGTATGAAAACCCCGCGGAAAATGTTACATTTGCAGGAGAAATAATCATTTTGCGCGGGAGTGTCGCATGCGCAATTTTAAGTTTAGGGCTCCATCTACTGGCGGTAATAGATATTGCAGGACTCAACCACACGTGGCGGATCAAGATGGCGCGGATGAGCCCGCCTTCTTGTCATCATTTCCGCCTGGCCGCAACACAAACTTCCGGTCGGCCCGCCCCCGGGCCGAGAATGAGGAAGTAGGTGATGGTCGCACAATGTGACGTCATCGCGCCGACCATGGGGGCCGCCATCTTTAATTTTACCGGAGCGAAACAAGCAGTTTCCGTACAAACCCCTAATGATTTTCAAGGCTTTTAAGAGATACTAATTGGCTAAAGCCATCCTTAAAACTAACTACTTCTGAGTTAAATCCTTTATTTCAGAGATTACAAGGAAATCCTTCTCCAACCTCTCCACGTCAGCTAACCTTAGAGGCTAGAATAGCTTTAAAGAGAGTTGAACATGCAATTAAAAATGCACAGCTTACTAGAGTTGATCCTAAAGAAATAGTGTATTTGTTAATATTTCCAACTGAGCATACCCCAACAGGAGCCATATGGCAAAGATTAGGAGTTATTGTTTGGATTTATTTATCCCACTCCCCTCAAAAAACATTAATTCCTTTTCATGATTCTATAGCTCAATTAGAAATTAAGGGCAGAACTAGAATTTTACAATTAATTGGATCTGAGCCTGATATCATAATCATTCCATTTTCTGTTCAACAGACTAATTGGCTTTTTCAAACTTCTAGCTCATGGCAGATAGCCTTTGCTGATTTTCCTGGCCAGATAGATAGCCATTATCCTCGTGATAAGATTATACAATTTAACGTCACTTATTTTTCCAAAGATTGTACGTGCACATCCTATAGATGAAGCTTTATCGGTGTTCACGGATGGTTCTAACTCAGGTAAAGCAGGTTTTTATATTCTTGTTCACACAGAGGTAATACAAACTTCTTATACTTCTGCCCAAAGAGCAGAGCTTCAAGCTCTGATTTGTGCCTTAAATTACTTTTCAAATGAGCCTATTAATATTTATTCTGACAGCTCATATGCAGTCGGAGTTACTAAAAACATTGAAACTTCAGTTATTGGGTATACTTCATCACAAGAGTTATTTGAATTATTTCATAATT